ATAATTTCTTTGTCATTTGTAGTGTGATTTTAAGAAGAAGAAAAAAAAAAAAAGATTAAAATCGTAAATCGGGTTTGGTGTGAAAAAAATTGGAGATTTTATTTTTAAGCCATACCGCCCAGCCCTACTGTTATTATCATTTTTATTACTATTATTAATAATTAAGCGAATATGCTTTTTGGGGGCCTTTAATGAATAATGGATAGTGACAGCTGAAGAGTGAGAAAGGGGAGACAGGGGATGACATGCAGAAAAGGGCCACAGGTCGGAGTCAAACCCGTGGCCACTGCAGCCAGGACTGACCCTTGGTACATGGGGCACCAGCTCTGCAGGTTAGCTAGAAGGATGCCCCCGGACTTACTTGCTAACATTAGCTTTCCGCAAACTGAGGCAGCACAGACGAGGAGAGCAATGTAAAAGTGTACAACCTTGTCTGACTACTACTATTCACAAACTCAGCTTCAGCAGGTCCCCTGCCGGAAGCTTGTAAAAACGCCATCACCAATAAGTGAGCAAGATTTAAATGTAAGGATAAGCCCCATTGGTGTGGTAATGTCTTATCCTTTAGTATTGTCTTTACGTTATGTTTTCCCGTGTCATACATTGTTATTTTGTTTTCAGATTATTTGTTTGAATTCATTTGAACGAATTGCTTGTTAAACGTAGTTAAAATGCCTTAAAGTAAATGACAGTTGGCAGAGTATTAATGGAATCTAACAATGGAATAGTCGGCAGTGCTGTTTAAATTGAAAATCAAGTCGAAATACTGTATAATTCAGACTTGTAGAGTCTAATTTGTGTTACTTCCAGTTTAAGTCTGACTTTAGATGGATTTATTTAAACTATGAGGATGCATTGTTACGTTATGGTCTCTCTTTGCACCCGCCTGCTCGGCTGTTACTTTTCCTGTGTGAATGAAAAGCCAGTTACCCACGTACATTGCAGAGTCGGCATTCTCCAGCATAGGTTTCTCTAATCCCTTCCCACGATTACTAAAACCGGATTACTCATCAAAATTACCTTTTAAAAAGTCGACTGTAGTCCGGTTACTTAAGGCATGTAAACATGCAAATAAGAGTATCTGGGTTACTTTAGTGCCTGTGTTACTTTAGTGCCTGTGACACTTTAG